TATATATATATAATTATTATTCTCACTGTTTATTCATATTCTTATTATGATGCTAATGATTGTAGACTTGGCTGTGCTGAGGAGTGTGTATATTTAAATAGCGTATACAGAAGATTAGAGGTTCTATTTTAAAGAAGTGGTACCCACCGATCGTTGGGGCTACTCCTCGCCGCACAGCGAGCATCTCTACCTGAACGAACTGTGACCCCTGCGAAACTACAAGTGGCGTGGGAGGGGTGAGGGTGGGTCATCCGGAGTACAGCACGCTCTGTTAAAACACATTCATTGGTGCAGGAAACACAAACTCGCCCTCCGCTGGACCCCAGCGTGTTTATGAATTATTTTTAATGGCCGCCTCACAGCCAAAGGACACAGAGTTTTGCTACTTTGCTGCACCGCTGGAAAGACGTTTGCAGGGACGGACCCAGAGATGGAGGACTGTGCTCATTCTGACGCCTCGACCAGGCTGACTTGATGAGTGTTTGTGCGTGCGCGTGTGTGTTAAAGTGGATTATAGCACAGATGTGCCCCACAGTGGGCCTTCAAGCCTTGGACTTAATTGATGCCCAAAAATGATGCCTACTCCCATGCTAGGACTCTCCTTCTTGCTTCCCTGACCCCAGTGTGCCAAACTTAATCATATTTTCCATGTAAGCCCTTTCGTTGTCACTAAGGGGGTGTTTTTGTTTGTTTATTTGTTTTTTTATGTATTGCCTGTAAAAGGGAAAAACCTCCATTGCCCCTAGGATGATACACGTTCTCATATCTAGCACAGTGAGAAGAGGGCTAAACAGGTAAATGCTGAGCACCCAGTCCTCCAGGGAGCCTGCCCACCTGCCCTGCAAAGCAATAAAAACCTCACGATTCAGTGTCAAACTCCTCCCCTGATGTTTCTGATAAAATGCTTCAGTTTAAGGGTGATTGCAGCATCAACAGCTGAAGACTGTTGTACTCGCCTAAAACCCGACCTACAGCATCCAAAGGGGCCACAATATAGCAATACAAATACACTAATTTCCAGGTTAGAATTTCATTTTATACACTTACAGTACTGGATGGGGGGGTAATTACCCCATCTACACACACCAATGACAGGAAAGTTATCAGATAAATAAAGTTTCCTGTGATTGACTACTTCTAATCAATAGGTCCTCCCCGATCAAAAGATTACAAAAGTACTTTTTGACCGGCTTTATTTATTTCATCCCTTTTATCGTTTTCTGGCTCCATAAACAGAAGTTCCCCCTGGTTGCTTATCCAACCACAGCTTGTTCTAATTTCCAAAACAACCTTTAGAGATGTTTTAGGTTATGTGATTCACCTCACCAGGGATCACGTGCTCGCCCCACTGTTTATATCATCTTTCGTTTTGATAACACCTTCTGTAAGGTTTTTTTTTCCCCGTCGTTGAGTTTTGATTTTACTGGTTTTGATTTTGTTTAACAAATTCGGAGGCATAAAGCGAGTTGCATGTTAATCGGTGGCGTCGGAGCTGTGACACTCTCTCGCTCTGTACCTGTATGTGCTCACTGTGTCACGTTTTAGTCTGAGTCCTAAATCTCGCTCAGGTACTTTATGAGCCACCGCAAACCAACGACGAGCAACTGCCAGCCTCCCAAGTGTCTGCAGCATGATCACGTGCAGTCACATGACCGAGTGCGTTGTCACTCCAGAGATCATGGACATTTTATACATAAATGTCATTGTGGTGCTGTTTGGTAAGGAGGCCTCTCTTATTCAAAGGGAAGCTCTGAGTTTGTTTGTTTATTTTGTGCAGTATCACCATCGACGTGCCTCTCCTTTGGGGCTGCTGCTTTGCTTATTTAGCTTTTTAAAATCTTTTTTTCTTTTTCTGTTTTGTAATTTTCTGTTTTTAAATCTGCTGGCATTTTGTTTGCCTTAACCTCAGTGAGGTGGAATGAAAAGAAAGTGGGAGACAGCCTTACCCTCACACACACAAACAAACACACACACACACACACACTTTGCTATCATGCCCCGTCTCATCGCCAATTTACCCTAACAGCTGCTCCCTCCTTTCTTTCCTGCCATGCCCACCTCACCCCTCTGCATCAGTTGTCCAGAGCTTTGCTTTTCCCCAAAGAAGGAATGGACTTGTGAACTGGGAACAAACACCATACAGTCTGCATTTAAGCGGCTGCAGTTGCAGTCACCACATTAGTCCCCACCATCACCCCGTCACTGAGCTCTTTAGCGCTCTGCATGGTTTGGCAGGCCTCACCTGCTTCACCGGCTCAGCCACAATTATGTATTTTGGCGCTGGGCCATTTGCTCAGAATCACTTTCATCTCTAAGTATCCTGCTTTGAGTTTTAAGATTTTAGATCTGGAGAAAAAGAAGAGACTTGAACAAAGTAGTAAAAGAAACATGAAAACAATCAGGTCTGTCTCTGTGACTGCTTTGCTGACTGTGGTTTATAAGTCAGGAGATCAAATAAACCAAATACAACACCGGATTTTGTCTGTTCCTGACATTTTACACATTATCATGCTTTGCTCCACTCATCTTAATCTCAAACAGTTCATATGTGTATCAGTATATCAAAGCACAAATGGGAATTCTTCTTTAGAATAAACAACAAAACTGAATGTTATGCTGCGTTGAAGCCTCTGTTGGGAACAATAAAGTGCACCCCAAGTGTGATTTATGATTGCCACATCTGCAAGGGTAGCGAGAGTCATCACGGCAAAAATGACCCCGGCCCTTTCGCAGGGGTTCCATGCAGCGTCTTCACCTATCCATGAAGATCCAACGTTTTTTAACTATTCAGATAAAATGGAGAACTTTGAATGTTAAATCGCCGCGAGGGGAAACCTGTACGGAGTATGAAAGATACAAACATTTCCACGTCGGCTAATGTCAGTGCTGAGGCTGTATTTAATATCTTTAAATATGAAATTTAAACATCAAATAATGACACAGAATTGAGCTGGTTATTTTAAATATATGTAGATTTATATATATTACAATTTATCTTGCTTTTGGTAGTGCTCTTCCATGTCGAAAGGAGCCCACAAAAGATAATGAAAAAAGTAGTCAAAAATCAAGGCAGTCGAGGTGACTGGAGCCCAAAGGTTGTTTTTTTTCGCAGACTTGACCAAAAAGTTCATCCAGAGCCCGAGATGACATAACTGTGTCCCAGGCTGAGTAGAACTGAACATTACTATTTGTCAACATTTACTTTAAGTTTCACAAGGGGCATGAACAGCGGTCGGACGAAGACCCTGTGTTTGTTTGACCCCCCTGCACAGTGTGGAGTATCTCGCTCTTTATACTACGCCAGTTGCTCCGCCTGTCTAATAATGAAGCAGGTGGGTTTACATTGGAGATAGTTCAAAGCCCGGTGCGTCACACACGGACGCTAAAGGGTGCCTCTGTGTGTCAGTTACTGACGGCATGGGGCACTGGCCAACGGTCCGTGAGAACGGGTTGCTTTGTCAGCACTGTTGCCGTTGAGCCACCAGCTCAGCCGTCGCCATCTTGAGAGCTCTGAATTAAAGTAGTTTCTTATTATTTTACTTTTTGTATTCATATGAATTTATTCTGTATTTAGTCATGTCAATTTATTTGATATTGAACACCTGTTCAGATAGGGATCATTTGATTCAATTTACATCTTAGTTTAGATCAAGTCATCGACCAACCACAGAAGTCAACGGTGACAGTTCTCAGTAGTTGACGAGGGGTTCTCCTGGGCCAGTCATGAAGAGAAGAATGTGTGCCAGTAACAATAGCTCCACCTACATGTGTCCTGAAGGAGCCAGCTGAGATTTATGTCTGTGAAAACACTTCTCAGTAGCTGAGCTAAACCATTGTCTTCCCTTCAGGAAATGGGCGTTGCTACACAATGACTGTTTCTCCTGACTTGTTCGTCTCTCTACCTGCACCGACCCAGCCAGCCAAGGTCAGAGGTCAAAGGCCTGACTGTGCTACTGCAGCCCAAGTAATACAACATTATTGTAACCATTTAAAACACACATACATGAAGGAGACCCCAGAAGAACATTCCACAACAGCAAAGAGCCGGGTGGCACGAACTTCCTGAGGAAACAACACTCACTTCCTGGCAAATTAAGCCAAGCCGACGGCTGCTCGGGTTGATAACCGCCACTGCTGGCTGACCACTGAGTGGCCGAGGTAGAGCACCACCTTTGTGTCCGCTCCCACCCACCAGAATCAGATCTGCCCCCCACACACCACCCATCAACCAGCATAGTCACAAGTCTGTTAACCACCAGGACAGCCAGCAGCGTTGGGAGCCTCAGTGTTCCTCAGACAGGATGGGCCTTCTACTACTGCTCACCTCCATGCTCCTGTCCAGCTGTAAGACCACTGACCTTCTATCTTCTTTAATAACTCGTTGGACTTGTCTTTGTGGAGGTGGTTAAAAGATTTTTCTCTAACCTGGTGCTTTACTTTCTTATCTTGCTCCAAGACTACCTTCCAGGGAGCGAGGTGAACGCACAGCGCCGTAAGTATAATCTAAGATAAATTACACTTTACATAGAGACAGTTTACTGAATGTCTTCCACAGAATTGTCGTCAGTTGGTGCAGAAAGTTAAGTTTAAACAAGGCCCAGTGTTTATGGAACATCATTTCTTTATTTTCCATATGGACAAAGTTATTGGGCTTTGAGTTGGAAGACTTTTCAATCTGTTGTCACTCACTAAAAACATTCCCAAACACAAAGCCAAGAGAGACACATGGTCAGTCAGTGGAAACAGTCCTGTTTGTTATCAGAGCTTTGTGATCGCTGGTGTTTGGTGAAGCCGTGGAAAGAAGCGTTGGGAACATGTTGGTGAGCAGTGTCACACGCCTCCCTGTGCTCTTGTGTTAGTTGGTGGTTGAAGGCATGAGTCGGCCCAAAAGATGGAGGCATTGTCCAAGTCGGGCCCAAGGTCCAGACTTGAAGTAAGACAAGCGTTTCCATTGGTTTGTGTTTTTCCTGAAACAAAATTATAGAAAAATATATCTTTCATTTTAGTGAAGAAGTGCTCGATCCTTTCAGTAAAAGTACCAAAACCCAGATTTAGAAATGCTCTGTTACAAGCAAGTAAAAGTCCTGCATTTCAATTATTTCTTAAGTAAAAGTAAGCCGACAGAAGTATTATCAGTAAATTGTACCTCCAGCATCAAAAGTAAAAGTGCTCATTCTGCAGAAAAATGTCCCTATTACTCTATATTACTTGATTTTTAGCACATTCATCAATGTGTAAGCATCATTGTATTGCTGTAGCTGATGGAGGTAATTTATATATAGTTCGGTAGTTTAGTCCAGTGGTTTCTCTTTGCTTTTTCATAAAATGTTGTATCATTTTAACTCATTGGGCCTCAAACTGCTATAAATATAACCATCTGAGAAGTTTAGAGGAGATATCACTCTTTGGTGGAAATGATACTACATTTTTGAAACGGAGCAACTGGTTTAAAGAGAAACTGAACACATAGAAGTGTTTTTTTGAGCTGTAAGCTGAATGATTTGGCTGTACTTTGAACACATCAATGCTGCTGTTAATATTGATATTTATTACCAAATTTATAAATATTTGCATCCCATGGATTGAAAATGTAGCTCTTAAATCCTTCCTGGACTTCTCAAGGTCGATGCTGACATGAAGTCAACTTGTTGGGACTTATTTATATATATATATACTTATTTATTTTTATTTTTATTTATATCAAAACAAAAAAAAAGAAGATTAACATCAGCATGCACGTCACCCTCCTGTCAGCCCTTGCCAACTTTTTTGTGTTTTTTTTCAAAAAGGTGCAGTGGGTGGAGTTACATTTTGATAATAAGCTTATCAAATGTATGTTTTATGTAAAATCTTAATCTGAAGAGTAATTATAGCTGTTATAAGTCGAGTAAAACGTACATTATTTCACTCTGAAATGAAGTGAAGTATAAAGTAGCATAAAATAGAAATACTTAAGTACAAGTACCTCAAAATTGTACCAAAGTACAGTACTTGAGTAAATGTACGTTGTTAGATTTTCTACCACTGGCTCAGCAGGTACCTGCAACAACTCACGCGGCTTATCGAGAGCCCAGAGCAAATCTCTGCCCTGCACGCCTGAGCGTTCTCATCATCAGCCCTGCCAGGTCCTGCTGAATGATGCTGGGTGTGGGCCAGATTCAGCAGGCTCTGAAATGGTGATAGGTCCCCCGGGTGGCCTGTTTGTCTGACAAAGTGCTTTTCCTGCCCATTTTTTCCCTTGTTTTCCAGGTTTGTTTACTGCCTCACAACACCCTCGTCTGAGCCACAACAGCAGCCTGTTGTCTCTAATACTCCACCAGATGGGTGATCTGGTGGAGAGGCTCGACGTACGTGTACAGATGCTTTCTGTCTGGTTACACTGGGGAGCAGTTTTAAAATGTACTTAAAGACAAAATGTTTCTCTTCGGTCTTGGACAGTCGCTTTGACATTTGTGAATATGACAACAAATATCTCCTGTGGATCATTGATTACTTTCAGCCTGTTCATGCCTGTGAATCACGGGAGTATTTGAAGCGATTCACGGCTTTGGGGACGTTCAGGTTGTCATCAGAGCAAATATGGCCGTATGAATGACGCAGTCTGGCTGCTGCAATTAATCCAGAGACAATGGGGCTGGGAACAAACCATTGTTGATAACTGTGAAGAGATTGAAAGAGTTTTGTTATAGAAAAGAAATGAGCAACTCCTGAGGTTTGATCCAGGAAGAACTTTCTGTAGCTGTCATGTAGAAAAGCCACTGGGTTGGCTATCCCTTCTTGTCCTTGACAGCTGAACCATTTCATACCTGTAAGATCAGTGAACACATCGGCCCATCAACGTCACATCCCTTAGTGAGGCGGTTGGAAGATGCCAAACCCTGAGGCCTACCAATGACACGCATCAAGCCCTCTTTACCTCATCTGCAAACAAGTTAACAGCTCCAACAAAGCATCAAAAGCCGCTTCCAGCAGATCCGGCTGCATATAGACGGAAGATGCTCTTTCTTATCTACTTCTATCTTCTTGCACTGCTGTTGCTTTAACATTAATGATTACGAATTTATTTTACAGTCAAGCGTGCATGCATTGTTTCTTATATGACTCTCATACCAGGATGGGCTGCCATTCCCGGTATGATGAAATTCTACAGCAACACACCAGCTTCCTGAGTGCTGCGTCGATACTTAATCGTATGACACCTGTAATAGAAATTTGAACAGTAGTTATTTTATATGCCAGCAATTTGAATAGGAAGTGAATAAAAGGAAATTCTATTCAATCCACTTTAATTATGACTGAGAACTCTACACGTCAAAATGTGTTGGTGTTAAAGCTCAAAGGAAGGAGGGGAAGGCTGCTCACTCATGACTTCTAATGCAGTCGTTCTGAATGTCAATGTTTGAAAACTATTGAGGCGTTGCCCTCTTCAGGATAAAGAACTGTAATCATATGACATACTGTATATAGTGTACAGGACAGGTGTCAAGGAATCAAGATAAACATGGGAATATACTTAAAATCTTAAATAATAAATAAATCACAGAAAATAAAGATTTCACCTCACTAACCTAGTTGTGTACATGCAGTGAGCCTCTCTCCACAAGAAGATACATGAATGCATCCCTGTCAATGTAACATACATTAATGCCACATACAAAACTTTACAACCAAGTAGAAAGTAAAGAGATAAGGATGTATTTTATATTGTCCTTGACTAGCTATATAGAAGGAAACCATAGTGAAAAAGATGGAATTTATTTTCAAAGGACAAGTTATCTTTCAATTTATCATCTCACAATGAAGCAAAACCATTACAAAGCTCTTCCAGTGCTGTAGATTAGCTTGTTTTTTAAAATTGATTCGTTTTTTTCTGCAATCACTCCCTAGTATTCACGATAAGAGACATCACCCTGTACATCGAGCCCAGGAATGACGTGACCCGCGACACCAATGTGACACTGAGATGCAAGGCCACTGTCAGCAGCTTTGGGCTGGAGGCGCTGAGTCGTGAGTACACTATATACAAGGACAGCAACACAGTCTACACCAAGACCTCCAGCACCTCGGAGGACCTTCTGTACCCTCTGTCCGAGGCCAGAGTCTCCAACACCGGCAAATACACGTGCAAGATCAACATTGAGGGGAAACAAATTACCTCCGGAGCCAAGAAACTCACAGTAACAGGTTGGTTTGTTGTTATGGATACAGCAGGACTATTATCTGTTAATGTGGATGGATCCTTAATAATGAACTATTACATGCAGAATTTTAAATCCCTTTTGTGTAAAATCAAAAATTTACTTGAAGTGATGGGAGTGACGTGGGAGAATTACTTCAACTTTGGCAGAAGGTGGTGCTCTTTTATATTTGTTTACTTTTTTCAGCACAGTTGGATTCAATCTAAGCACATTTCTCACATATTGGGTTTTCAGGCCTGTCAAAACCAGTTCTCCACCTTAACAAGGGTGTGGTCACTGAAGGGGAGGAGATAACGGCCACGTGTACGGCGCCCGGCGAGACAGGCTCCTTCTACTTCTACTTCTACGAGAACTCCACAGAGATCCTGGATAAGCAGGTCAACTCTAACCAGGCAGAGGCCAAGCTACACTTCAGCAGCGCTGGCATCCACAGAATTCACTGTGCCTATACTGTCCTCATAACGCCAGACTTCTCGAAGTCTGAGGAAAGCAACACTGTCACTGTTTCAGTCAAGGGTAAGTGGCATTTTGTCTTTTATTTTCCAAAGCATTTTGAGCCGTCTTAGGGTTTTTTTCTTCATTGGCTTTGTCTCCTTAGAGCTTCCTATCAACGCAGTTTTGGAGATCTTCCCTCAGACCAAGATCTATGAAGGAGACCAACTCTTCATCTCGTGCACCGTCAGAAACGCTCTGCACACCTTGAAGAGTAGTCATCTATACCTGAGCCGGGGGAACCAGCTTCTCAGCAGGGGAGACACTAAAGTCAACCACAGCAGCGTTGCCCTGGCCAAGGACCCTGGGGAGTTTGAGTGCAGATTAGAGATGGGAGATGTTGTGAAATTTGACACAAAGACGATTTCAGTGACTGGTGAGTGGACAGTGGAAAGATGACCTGTGTGTGTACACTGTACATATAAATCTGTGTTCTTACTGCTGATTTGTTTTTATTATTTAATATAGTAAAAGCTTATGAGACAAGTCAAAAATGTAACTGAAAACATCAGTGAATTAATTAATTCAAATTGAGTTCCTTAGATTGTACTATTACAAGAGTCTGTACAGTGATTGTTTGTTGTGAATGCAGCCGAACGCAGCATCCTACTGGAAGCACGTCAATCCAGGAATAGTGCAAAGCTTTTGATCCAATTGAACCTCCATTTTAATAATCTAATTAAAAGTATTAATGCTTTATTGTTTTTGACTTGTCTGACAACCTTTTTCTACATTTCGTCGGTTTTACGCTCCATACATATCAGCATTTACACTGTTAAGTAACGTCAAGGCAGATGATGAACTGCCATGTTTTTAAAATCTTTCCTCAGAGCTGTTTGCGGTGCCCACTCTCACCATGTCTCCTGCTGAAGTCTTTCAAAAGGAATATATGACGTTAACCTGTAAAAGTGAGAGCTCTGCCTCTGAAAGACTCAACATGGAGGAGTTGACTTACACTCTTGATCCACCTGGAAGCCTACTGATCTCCAAAGGCACTGGAATATTTTCTGGCAGTGCCTTCCTGTATGATTTCAACTATACCTGTGTCGCTCAAGCCAAGGGCATCGTGAAGAACAGTGAGACCCTGACTGTCCGTCCTAAAGGTAAGCTTACTTGATCTCTTTCAGATGCAAATTTGGCCTCGTGTCTGAATACCCCCAGGTCACTTTTAAGTCAGACCTAGTATCATTTGCAAACGCAGTGCCAATCCCTCCTCTGTTGCTCTCCCTTAGGTTTCTTCCTTTTTGTCTCCCTGTTAAAGAGGATTTTTGGGGGAGTTTTTCCTGTACTGATGTGAGGGTCCCGGGACAAATTAGTTTTTTTCCTCCTTGTCCCTTTCGGGGCTCCGTACAAATCTGAATGGATTAACCTAAAGTAAATGCTACTATAGCATAAAACCAATGAGATGATTGATACCACTGTCAGAGTGATAGCAATTTATCATCAAACTTTTCTCTGTGTGGAATAAAACAAGAGTATTTCATTCAAATATTAAAAATGTTATCTCTCATTTATCATCTCATAATCCCAACATATGCAAAACGCAGGCAATGTTTTTCATCACAGTGTGAGGAAAACAGCTAGAAAAAAAACAACTTGTGCAACCACAATAATAATTAGACCGCATCTCTTCATTTTTTATTATCTATCTCATTCTGTGGATGTGTGACTGAATATCCAGCGCTTGATTCACATGTGAGCAAATAAGAATTAAATCCCAACTCAAAGCGGCTATCGTCAGTACGTATGTATTAGCAATGGAATAAATGTCTGTGTATAATGTGATGAGTCAGTGATGAGAAAGGCATAATAGGATTAAAGGTCATGAACCTGTGAACTGTACTCACTGAATAAAACATTATCATAAAAGTCCCCTATGTCTGAATGGCTTAAGTTTTTGCTTCATAGGATTTGCCCACAGGAAGTCAGTGTGTTATATTTTCTCTCTCCTCTTTAGTTCCTGTCTCCACTCCAAAGATCTCGGTGGTTGGCAGAGCAGTCCTAGGACAGCACTTCAAGATCCTCTGTCAGTCGGACATTGGCAGCCTGCCAATAAACTACACCCTGCTGAAGGGCTTCGACCAACTGAGCACTACCATTGTCAAGCAGCCCTTTCAACAAGCTCTCTTCACAATCAGCATCAACAAGCCTGATGAAATAAGCAAGTTCATGTGCGAGGCAAAGAATCGGAACAAGGAAGCCCCGCTCAGTAAAAGACTCAACGCTACCGTCATAGGTAAATGTTCAAAACTAGTATGTTTCTCCATCTTTACATGGTTAGTATATTCTTAATGTACCTCATCACCACTGCTCAAAAAGATCATTCAATGGATTACCATGTCTAAATAGTGTTTGATGAGCCACTGCAGAGCCCTATCAGTCCTACAAAACTATTGACATTGACATAACACTCTTACCTCAAGGTCCATCTAGTAGCTGTTCTGGAGCTTTCAGATCATATCACATGACCTTTCTCATTTCATGGAGTTTGTCCAGTTGTGGATGTGGATGCTGAAATTGTCATTTTTCTAAACACTTACAAAACGTCTGATCCATTTTAGCTAAACAGTTGAGTTTCAAGGTTTCCTGACCTCTGAAACAGTAGTTAAGAGAATGTTCCTTAAGTTATTCTGGTGCGTTCTATTGTGTCACATGATCCTCAGTAGATTGTTGTGGATTGCTCAGTTGCCATTAAATGTTTTTCCAGCTGCTGTTTCCAAGGTCAAGATTGAACTTTGAAACTAAGTTATTGTCAACATTATTTTATAGTGTAATTTAATAAATACAAACACTCCCCCATTCCTCTGTAACACATTATGATATAACTTTGAGTTAAGGAAATAGGTGGACATTTTTGGAAATACACTTGGTTGCTTTCTTACCGAGAGTTATCTGGATTGATACCACACTCATGTCTGTCCGGTATGTTAAGTTACAGCCAACAAATTGACTAATGTCTACTCTTTTCCTCCACTTCCCTCTCTCAGTGCCTCTGACGCACCCAATTCTTACTGTCATCCCCGACCTACCGGAAATATCTGAGGGAGATGATCTCTTCCTCATATGTGGTGTTAAAGGCTCTCCGCCGGTCACCTTTAAGTGGTACCGTGTTGGCAACGAACAGCCGCTGTACACCACCACATCCAACAAGAACAACACGTACTACCGGGTCCACAGTTTATCCAAAGAGCACAGCGGCGTGTACTACTGCGAGGCTGTCAACCACGCCAACAATGTCGTCAGCAGTGACCGTGTCACCATAGAGGGTGAGACTGATGGGTATTTATGCTCAGTAGGGACTCCACCTGCTCCAGACCGGCCGCTCTGGGTCTGACCCTGACCTCTGGGGCATGCAAAGAAAACACAAAAAAACTTCCTTTATAAACTGAAATTAAATAAGAAGTAAAGAAATATAGTTATGGCCCAGAAACTAATTATGCTTATTGGCATTCTCACCATCTTTGTCAAAGAGAACTATTTTAGTATGATTTTATGAAAACAAGTCAATGAAAACAGTTTGAGTCATCAGATTAGATTGAACATTTCAGTCAATCTAGCCAAAATATCTCATTGCTTCTTTCTCCCAAGCCATCCATCCATCTATTGTCTTCCTCTTATCTGGGATCGGGTCGCGGTGGCAGCAGGCCAAGCAGAGGACGGACCCGCCGGTCTTTGTAGGTTCGTCAGATTTTGTAGGCGAGGAAATATCTCGGGGAGTACCATTGTTTGGTTCCAGAGCTGAATTTAGATGGAGCCTGGTTCAAAGATTGCTTTCGTATGAGCAGGACACAGTTTGAAGTGTTGCTCCAAAAAGGTTCCGGTAAAAACCTTCCATTTCAAGGAGAGAAACAAATTATTGTGAGGCCATCCGCTCGGAGACCTCCTGACTCAACTCATTGTGTGTTGCCGTTGCCGGTGTAGTCCAGATATGGCGAGCAGCACACAAAATTGAACTTTCTTTTTGCAGTTTGTTCTTATTCACCACAAGCAGCCAAAACTCAGACTGCCCAGATGTTAGCAACAGATACAAAAAAAAGACGAAATAAAAGCAAGGCTAAAATTCCATGATGGTGGACGGGTTATGATGTCAGTCCGTCAGAATTTAAAGAAAGAGGGACTAATTAGAGAAATTATTAAAGTTTTGCTAACTTTTTTTAAAACTTTTTTTAGTTTTCACTTCCTTTCTCTTTCTGAAACAACTTTTGCCATCATGTCCCATTTTATTCTTTCCCCCTTGTGTTCTTGTTTGTAACTGACTTTCTTTTCTTTCTGTCTGTTTCTCTCTCTCTCTCTCTCTCTCTCTCTCTCTCTCTCTCCATAGTGCGCCTCGCGTTGTGGAAAAAAGTGCTGATCGGTGGTTTCTGTGTTCTGGCCGTGTCTGTGTTGGTGGTTGTGTGTGTGCTGTGCTTCAGATCCAAGAGAGGTAGAGAGACCTACAGTCCTCCAGCAACTCAGCCTTCTTATGTCTAACTATGTATGAAAACCAACCGTCCTCCACCTACTTCCTTCTGCTCTTCTTCTCACATCTCCTCTCTTATTGTAGGTAAAAGCACAGAAGCAGCTGCTGAATTGTCAGTGTGAGTTGTCTCGACCTCTTGCCTCCTCTCAATGTGACGGATACTGTCGAAGTTAGTGACAGTGTAGATGAGGGTGTATCAGTGTCATGTTTCTGTTATTTTTAGCCTTCACAGAACCATACTAGTTGTTTTCCATGTTTGTAACCCTGGCCAAGAAATAGTCACATAACTCTCCATTAAACCACAAATTGTTATTTATTTTTTTACTCTTATTAGTAAGGACTAAACAAACGAGACTTAACATGTTAATTGGTGAAATTCATAGGTGCTGGATGCAGATTCTGTTACCTTTTGACAGAGTCCTGTCTCCTGTTGAAGCAACGAAGCATATTTATTATTATATAATACATGTCATTTAATAATCCCTAAGGGAAATTTCATTGTTACAGTAGCCAAGTCAACCAATAAATCGCTAAAAAGTAAATAGGTAGGTGAGAAGCTAAATACAATACATAAAAACGATTCATTCTAAGGTAATGAAAACACAACCATTCTTAGTTTCCGGTGATTATACACTAATAAAAACTGCCAATAAATCCTCCGAAATCCTCCGATGTTAAATTGTTTCCGTGGTGGGGGCATGTCATTTTACGCCACCATCACATAATAACCACATCACGCTAAGATGTCGTGGTCATTTGACGTATATCTGTGAGATCACTTTGATTTTGTGAAAAATGTTTTTAATATACTGTACGATGGTAGTGTTCAGTACTAGTGCACATTAGAGAAGTGCAACTAATGTTAGATGTGCTTGGATATTTAAATATAATTAACTGTACATGTATACTCACTGGTAGAGAGGTATGTTCTGTACCAAATAAAAATAGTAATAAGAAAAGTTCAGGAAAATGTAAAGAAGTAAAAGAAATCACAAACCTAAAGGCCACCAGTATGGTTATTAAAGTGCATTGTTAGCTTGTATCACATTTTATTGCACATAGTTTTCATGCTTTAGATCATTTTGGCATTTAGTCGATTTTTCTCACTGCTGCAGAGTTGACTTTATTTTTACCATCTCTCAGAAAGCCTGCGAGCCCTAAATCAGATGACTCTTTAACAGTGAATCTAACCCACGACACAGAGGTTTATAACGCAGCAACAGGTAGCTTGGTTTTACTATTCTCTGTTTGTACCACTGACTGTCCTCATTAGTCATCATCTTCACAGCCATGAGTCATTTCTCTGGCCTTAACAGTCATAGCATGTTCCCTGTTGTAGCCACAGCAATCCATTTCCATCCCATGATGTTCTAACATGCATGCAGGGCCTATGTTGTGGTGAACCTGGCGACCTGTGTTTATCTTTATCTTTCCAGTTGATATCCTGATATCCTGTTAAAGTTTATGTGCACACACAACGTGTTTGTTTGAGCTAATTTTCTTCGTCCGTCTCTGACTTTTTTTGCATGTACGTACATCGTGTTTGTGTCTAAGTGTGTATTTGCAGAGGCAGGAAAAGTAGGATGTTGTTAGAATACAGTTGTTGTAGGACCTAAACTCTCCGAGGTTAAAGCTGTTTTTACGCTGGAAGAAGCTGCTTAAGTAGCAAAGTACATGACAATGATTATCAATTGTTGCAAACTGCTTAGAGCACCCATTATCATCTTCTTCCAGGAGCAGCGCCAGTCTATGATGGCATGGAGGGGAGAGGGACCAATGGGGCGCGAGATAGCGTGGCGTCACTTCCCGTTGACATCAGCAACAGGAGCAGCTACAGTTTCCCAGCAACAGTGTAGAGATGCCCCACAATGGGCGGGACTTGAATTATACTTTTTATAAACTTTCAAAGCAAAACGAAGTTCGATGAAAGGACTTTGAGAGCAAGAATGGAAAAGAACACAAGAGGCAGTAATGTTTGTGATGTCAAGTGTTGTAGGATTTGGACACACTTTTTTTTTCACTGATGAGTTTTCTCAGTGAAAAGGAGGGGCGTGTTATGAAACAATAGAAACCAGGACCTGCTGCTCCCTCTCCCCTCCTCCTGCAATTTAGATGGCCTTTGATTTTATTCTCAACATTGCTGTCTTTGTCCTTTGTTTCTTCCATCACCACGTCTGTGGGATTTTGTGTCTTTTATTGTTGCAACTGCTCTGTTTGTCTGATGTGCATGTCTAAATGGCCTTGGTGACAGATTGATTAATTTGTGTATACATTTTATCACCATCACAGGAAATGTGTGTATATATTTTTGGTTTATCCAGTGACCGGTGGGACACTTGTAGAATAAAGACGTTGGTTTTATTTAGAAGTGTGTCAGTACCATTCATTTTGCTCCAGCTGTTGTATCTGAGGCAAAAAACAGTTTATACTGCACAAAATGCTTTCCAAGAGAACATTATTATTATTATTATCACGCCTGTATTAATCTTACAGTAACCATACTAAGCACAGATCTAAGACAAGAATTCCAACATAACATGAAGTTGATTCATTACCTAAAAAAAAGGAACGCACAACAGAGACTTCCTTGAAATGTTGAAGTCCCCAAAAAGTCTGTTGGCACAGAGCAGGTCAGTGTTGATGAAACTGGTGGTGGAGGGTGGAGGGTGGGGCTTATCTTGTTTCAAGCTAGGCAAGTTTGAATGCATGCAGCAGGTGGAGGAAATGAATCACATGTGGTTTGCTTGAGCTGTGTGTGAGATTACATTACCAACTGGGTAAAAGTTGTTTTAGCCAGAACGTATTGTGCAGCCGCTGCTGAATTAACATCCTAATGTGCAGAAGGCAGTAGCAGATTTCTGTATTTACCAGACTAGCTTTATTTTAAGAGCAAGCAAGCAAGCCTCCACTAAAGCCCAAGTTGTAGATATGTGCCACAAAAAATGTCTCCGCATCTCTCAGTTATTGCTTTATGAACAGAATATAATCTTGATATTTGACTTTTGCTCATGTGTAATATGCTTATTCACTTGCTTGCAGAGAGTAATTTGAGAAGACTGTTACCACTCTAATGGCTGACTTTTTAATATGAAACTACAGCCAGGAGACAGTTAGCTTAGCTAAAGTTAGCATGAAGACTGGCGCTGTAAAAAAGGTTTTAAAATAATAATTCAAAAAACAAAATAAAATTCTAAAAATCAAAATGACAAGTGACCCTTCTGTAAACCCACATACATTTTTACACTTTGGTTTTTGTATGGGTTAACCAAACAAAGGTTCCAAGATTTTTCTTTAACCTTTGGACAGAACTGGTCAATCTGTTTCCAGACGTTATGTTAAGCTAAGCTAACTGGTTGCTGGCAATACCTTCATATTTAACAGATTTAAAGAGTGGTATCATTTTTACTATGTAACTCTCAGCAATAAAGCAAATATGCGTGTTTCCTTAAACTTCCTCTAAGACACTTCATAGATGTCAGCTGACATCATACATTGGCAATGTGTCGTTTTACTGCTCTTTATTAAGGTATATTTTTTATTCTAATTAGTGCAGAATTCTTACAACGTAATTAAAGTTTGTCTTTCTGTGTTTCACAGTGAGGGTGGGCGGAGCTGCAGTCAGTGTGTGGAGCGAGCGACCACCTGAAGAAGGTGAGCTGGGCTTGTAATAAGTAGCCTACCATTATATTAAAGATTTGACTAAAGATGCCTTACAGTTCCTTGGAAGCATGTATAAATTACATGGATGGACCTATTGAGAATTACGCACAGACAGCATTAACTTATTTTTTCTCAAAAGTTTCGCTGAACAGCAGCCACTGGCAACAAACGGCATTATGAGCTTATAGTTAATGCCAAAGTGTAAGTAGAGAAGAGTCATGAAGTTGGCAAACTGATTCAGTAATGTCAGTAGCACAACAATAGTGGATGTAGATTTCAGTACATTACATACAGTGTTGACGAACAGTAATAATAATTTAGTATATTTTCTTGCAGACTTTGCAAAACACTTTTTTTGGATCTCGTAAGGCAGCAATGATCCATGGTTATTTCCCTTCCAACTCCTACCGGTACCTTTAGTAATATTTTGGCTGGAGGGTCACCAGGTCCCTGGACACCGGGCCCACCCACATCAGTGACGGATGGTTTCTTTTTACTCTATAATTGTTTTTATTCAACAACATCAAAGCTATGTATCACCGCTATGCCTGATGTATGCCTACACTAGTGTATGCCTACACTAGTGTACTACAGCCAAAAATGTGTGTTGACTGACTAACCGTGCACATCTGTGACCAAAATAATATTTCACACCGATCAGCATTTAATAGTTTATTAGGTTATAACTAATCAAAACTTGTGTTTTGTCAAATTTTTGGGACAAATCGGTCAGGATTCAGAACAAATGCATCATTTTTTGGGATGTTTGGTCACCCTACATGAAGGGTCACACTTGATCTTGTTAACTAAAGTAAAACCAACACAACTCAAGGCCTGTAGCACATACAGTAGTCATATGGTTGAAAGCTCTGGAAAAGACAAGCGGGTGGACTTCGAGCTGGGATTGTTTTGTCAAACTTTTATTTCCAAGGTCAACAATGAACTTTTCATGCTCGAGAAAACAGTACACTCATATATCAAGTCATGCAGAGGGTGTAGCGTATTTTAAAGAGAAGCTTGTTCATGTATTTGCGTGCAGCCAATGACGAGGAGAGCAGCATGGTGTCCAACGAGCCTGATGTGGAGTACACTGAGGTGGTGCATCCCCGGCCAGTAGATCCTGCCAGAGGTGAACAAAAAAGAACATGTTGTTTTGAGTCCATCTCCCCTTTGACAACTTTTTGTCCCTCTATTTTCTTTATTCTGCACATTCTCTCCCCTCCATTACAAACCTCCCCACATTCCTTTACAGTTGATAATACAGACCAACACTTCTTGGGAGGGGCATAATTACCCATAATTAACACATCTCCAAGTTGCTCTAACTGCAGGGATTTCCAGAACCATTGCAGACCTCATAAACAGGAAGGGTTGACCTAATTGCCTGGCTGGTTTCTGATACTGGCTCCTTCTTCGTTATGGTTCTCTGTGCTCAAGGTCCCGACGGGCTGAAGATGGCCGTTACAGAATGTGACACAACCCACCTACTTTTAGATTTCTGGTCATGATAGATCTAACAGACAGTTATCAGCTAAAAAATGTGTCTTTGATGTTCAAGCAGGCTAATGTGTTGCTTTTTATTATCAACAGTCCCCCTGAGAAAAGGCACAGACACAGTGTATAGCGAGCTCCAAAACTCTCCACATGGTGAGTTTAACATTTTGAAAGTTGCACTGATGACGATTTTTATATTGACAATTGATTACGTTACTGTGTGAAGTTGCGAAAGGGGTTGCTCGAAGTCAGAAATCCAAATTATCACTCAACTCGACAGAGTGTTTTAGCTTTTTTCAGCTCATTGTTGGTTTTTTTTAGCCCGTATTTTTACTGTTTTGGTTCCGTCTCATCGCTCCTCATCAGCCTTGTGGCTGATTATCCCACTGTACACTACCTGCCCACAAAGTTAGCAACAAGTGAACCCAGTGGATCATTTCGCACTTAACGAGCCAGTTATTTAGATGGATAGTTTACCCAGGCCAGCTACAGAACCGTTACTATATCCTGTTACTGCTGGCAGGAACCTCCTGCTATTAAAACAGCAGCCAGACGCTGGATGTGTCTATCAAGCAATTTATCGGAGTCTTAATGTTTCCTGGTCAACAGTGACAAAAGAATGACTTGAGAGCAGCATCTGTAAGAGTGAGAGGGAATATTCTGAATATTGACTCAGACAACAGGGACAGAACTCAATGGCTGAAACAAAGGCCTCTGCAGAGGAAGAACAAGTGAGTCAGCAAGCTCGGTCATGTCGTCATAACTGTCAAATGACTAATGCATAACTGTGAGGTGGGCAGGATACACACATTTAACCTGTGATGCTTTTGCCTTTAGGTGCTGCTGACCATCATGACTATGTAAGTTATTATCTGCACAATCACACTCATGTTCTTCCTGCTACTTATTATCATTATACTTAGGTGTCTTTTGCTTCGCCCGAAGCACAAAATATATTAATCAAATGCTGTATGTTTATTCAAAATATATATGCATAATTGAAGATGGGTGCTATGACTTTTCTTCTTGATAACTTTTTTATTAATTACATTTTACAAACAAAGAAACAAACATTAATATATAATTAATTTATATATATTTATATATATATGTATATGACATGCAGAGTTCATAAGTTATGTAATGAATTGGAGGAGTATTACCTAGAAGCAAGCAAGACTGTATGTAGTATTCAAAAGAAATGATAAGTAATATTAGAAGCCTTTTGACAAAACTTGATTCAAGTCACACATGTTAAGTGGTGAAACAATTGTTCTTCACCATTAACTTGAACAATGACTTAAACAAAGACTTTTATACAGTAGCATTACTCATGTATGGGATTTGTATACTAAATGACTAAAATCAGCCATGTGTCCCTGAGCTGGCCGCCTCCTGGTCACAAGGATACCTTGCAGGCCGATAATCCAGAGCGAGAGGAAAACGGCCGTCAAAGTTTCCAGAAAAGAACAAAGGCATTTGGGCTGGGGCTTCCTTCCCTATCGCCCGATCAGATCAGCGCTGTGGCCCAGTCAAATTACCTCAAAGCCCATCTCAGCCAGCAAACTGTCCCCCAGCATGCCTTAATCACTGCTGCGCCTTACAGCGCCGATTGTCCCTACATGGTGTTAGAGGCAGCTAAAGAGAGGAATGTGGAATAATACACTAAGGATGTGACATCAGGATCTAAAAATGGGTGATTCTTTCATCAGTGTATCTTCTTGATGGCAGATTATGCGGTTTGGTCTGACAGTATTCTTACTATGGTTTGTCTACTCCACAGGAAACTAATGCTCAGTAGACATTTTGGAGTTTGTATTATGGGGAAAAACAGAGCATCCTCTGAGAGTTTGTTATTCAGTTTTGCTCCATTCAAAATGAGGATTAGCACTTAGGTAGTTAGGAAGATGGATGAAAACACAGTTTAAAATCAAATTTGCACTCATGCAGGAGCAATTGTTTTGCACATTATCAGGAGCCACAAAAATGTTTTTATAACCTTATCCTGCCAGGCTTTTAAAGTACTTAGCGACCGCACCAATGTGTGCTTTAGTTTGCTTTGTGTTGTGTGTGCCAGTGTTTAAGGATCAAGATAATAAATGAATCAACCACGTTAGTGTTTAATTGCTCTGCTTTGTGTGTCAGCAGGGTTCAGTAGAGTACGCTGAGCTCAACAGTGAACAACCTGAGATCAATAGCTGCGGTCTAGAGGTCAACAACCACCAGGACCTGCCAGTGCCGGTGGATTAGTGGATTATCGCCTTGTCTCCACTCCCATCTCTTATCCACACTTTTTGTACAGCTATAAATACTGTTGTATATCAATAAAAGCATGAAGTCATGAATCCTTACTGTGCTTGTTGGTGTGTTTTTTCTTTCGTGTGACAGCAGGCCTTTATATTACAGCTGCACAGAGATCTGACAAGCAGAAAATAACTTGGCTGTCAATGTCATTAGAAAGATCAACTGTTTTTCACAGTAACACAACTCAACTTCAGTTGAAGTTACTTTATTTTCCATTTGAATTAGTTACAGAGTTCAAACTTACTGAAATGATTGCATGGCTCTCTTAGTCATGTCAACAAGGAGACGACAAGCAGAAGAAGGTGGGTGTAAAATGAAATAAAGGGGAGATATGCTCATTTTCAGGTCAATACTTGTATTTTGGATTTCTACTAGAACATGTTTACATGCTTTAATGTTAAAAACACATTATTTTTCTTATACTGTCTGTCTTTATATACCTGTATTCACCCTCCGCTTCAAACGCTCTGTTTTAGCCGTCTCTTTAAAGCGACTGTTCACCCCAAAATCCAAAATTCATGTTTTTCCTCTTACCTTCAGTGCTATTTATCGATCTTGATTGTTTTTGTGTGACTTGTGTGAGTTTTGGAGACATCGGCTGTAGAGATGTCTGCCTTCTCTTGAATATAATTTAGATCTGCAAGATGGCAATCAGCCACCAAACAAATAAATAAAATAAAAAAAGTCAACAGCAATGTCTCTTTCCAGAAATCCTGACCAGGTTGCTCAAGTTAATCCACAGACCTTGTGGTGTGCAGTTTCATATAGTTCCTAGATGAAACTGCTGAACTGTCCCATTAAGCCCCCCTCCCAAAAAAGCCCAGTCTATTCTGATTAGCATGCGAGAAAATTCTGGTGTACATTTGCAAAGTCTGCAAGTCGTGGATGGATACTCTAAGATTGGGGACTGTATATTCTAATGAGACTGCATTTCACATAGGAAGGGAAGCCAATTCTGAATGTCTTGTTGAATCACATATTTTCTGATCTAGACATGGAAAAACAACTGACTGGGATGGTCAGCACTCCAGATACCCAAAATCAATTTAACCGACATTGCACTTTTTACTCCACTACATTTATTTGACAACATTAGTTACTTTTCAGATCCTGATTATTAATACA